CTTTATTTTTATTAAAAATAATATGAATACAAAAATTAAGTATTAAGTTATTTTATATCTCCTCTGCCCATTAGAAGTTGTCACTTTAACTTAGGGAGAGCAGAACAAATGGATAGATCTGCCTTTATTTTTATTAAAAATAATATGAATACAAAAATTAAGTATTAAGGTATTTTATATCTCCTCTACCCATTAGAAGTTGTCACTTTAACTTAGGGAGAGCAGATCTATCTGATTTCCACCTATGATTCTCTTGCATTTGAAATCACAGTGAAAGTCTAGTCAGTTGCACACGGAAGCAAAAACCACCATAGCGGTAGGTAAACAGAACCTACAGGGGAATTATGTCAACAAATGACTTAGTCTACGTGCTCATAATCCTGTCACTAAATTATCACTGAACATGTTAAAACAGTAGACCTCTGGTCACCTTTGGTTGGCCTTTTCCAATAAGTTAAGCATCAAATATATGTGACAAAAATTTTATTTTGTGAAGTTCAGAGAACCGTTTTTGTTGGATGTGTAATTTGGAGGTTTTGTTTGCATTATGTCCTTAGGGGTTTTCTTTGTTTTAACAGCATGCAGCTTGACAGAAATACACTACCCAAAAAGGGACTAAGGTAGATATTTCTCTCAGCACCATTGCTGCCTTTGTCTGTTGTTATGTAAACTTTGTGTGCTGTCTCTCTCCCTCTTTCTTTCTTTGTTTGCAATGAGGTATCTGCCATTGAGGATGGCATCAATTTTAATCCTAATGTTTTCTCTGGCCTGAGGAGTTGGTGAGATAAGCCTCTGGTTAGAGATACCAGTAGAGGTCAAGACTACGTAAATTAAATCCAGTCTAATGTCATTATTTGGGGAGCAGCAATTTTTGGTAGATTTCAGAAGTCACTTCTATAAATTAAAATAAAATTAACTTCCCTAACATTTGCATCTTGGAGGCATATGCTTGCAAAACCTCAACCCATATAGTCTACAGATGTGGCCAGTTAATGTTGAAAGGTTGAAGGATGCTCTAATTTGAATAAAAGAAAATACATTTTCATCATCAGAGGACAAATACTATAATTAAGGTATGAATTTTTAAAGAATCCTTTTGGTAAAAACTCCAGAGTTTTCATTTTGGTTTTTCAGGAGTGCTAGTCCATTTAGATAATGAATTAGTCTAGGATAATGTAATAATCTCAAAGTCATCATTCAGTTCATCATAAAAACTAAAATGAAAATTTAATCCATGGCCTTCCTTTACTATATGATTTAATCTGAGGAGAGGATATAAAATGAATGACTAATAGAGGTATAACACATATGAACTTAATGAGTCAACTGTTCTTTGATGTTAAGAATTTACTTACTCTGGTGAAAATGAGCACTGGCCAAATAGGTCTTTCCCTGTTATCCTTTTTCTCGCCAGTCCCTTAATAATAGGAAACAGCTTGCAATTATTCCATTTCAAGATTTTCTTTCAGAAATTTATTTTCTACTAAAGTGAGCCCATTTTTTCCCTTTTTTTAAAAAAAAATCTAGACATGATGTCAAGTGCCATTTTAACCAAATAAATCTGGTATTTTTAAATGTTTTCCTTTTTTTTTTTTTTTTTCCAAAAAAGATCTGTCAATTTGTGTTCCATTTCCTATGCCTTTCTGTGGCCATCACTCCAGTTCCCTTGGCTCCTGGCCTAGCACTGTCTGCCATATTCAGTCTGTGCTTTCACCCTCTTCACATCCTTCCAAGCACTGTGCTTTTGAGTCCCTCTCAATTAACTTGGCTGTCTGCTCATTGCTTATGATTTTCAACTACATATCTCACAGAAGCATAATTTCCCTTTCAAAATCCTTTATTTTTTTCTTTTTCCCCTGTGAGATTCACACAGATGGTGTCAGATCATCTGGAAGAACTAAGCAATTATAATTAGATTCAATCTGTTTGAGAATGTTGTTCAGTCTGAATAGTAAGCTCCTTTCGATTGTTTCCTTGTCCTGGTATTGCCTTGCCCCCCGTAGATGTGCTTCAGTGTCTTAGCTGTGCTGTTTTGCAGATACACCCCATCATCTCGGCAGGCCAACCAAGAAGAGGGCAAAGAGTGGCTGCGCTCGCATTCCACCGGAGGGCTACAAGATGCTGGCAACCAGTCCCCTCTGCTCTCCCCTTCTGCCATGTCATCTTCCGCCACAGGAAAATACCACTTTTCCAACTTGGGTAAAATATTCTGAACACCATTTCATCTTGTTCCTTTGACCATCTGCCCTCACAGGAGCACTGCGATCTCTCCGTAAAACATGTTATAAAACATGTTCACTTAAGGAAAAGATAAAGACACCTTAAGAGTACCTTTTATTTGTTTGATGGCTGGCTAGTCACAAAACACTTTCCAAAGGTTATGCAGTTTATTGCTCGTGACAATGAGCGACAACTTGACATTGGTACGACTGCTGTGATTTTACAATCTAGGATCCAGAGGCACAGAGAGGTCATTTCACTCACAAAAAGGTCTCACCATTCATAAGGGGCAGAGGCAGTAATTGATCCCAGAACACCTGACTTCAAGCTTAGGCGTTTTTCTCAAAGTCCTCTTAAAAAACAGTAAAACATCTCCTTGTTTTTTGCTTAAAAACAAGCAAGTTTGCTTGTTTTTAAAAACATTTAAGAAAAAACATTTGCTTAATTTTTTAAAAATCCTTGACAAAATTTATCATACTTTTGTAGAAAAACAAAATATAAATAATTAAGAAGAAGGAGATAGTAACTCCGTGACTCTAAGATCACTTTTTTACAGGTAATCAAAATGAATAGCATTTCAAAACTCTCACTAAAATGAATATGAATAACCCCTGTGAACATTTTTTGATAAGTACAAGGAAAAAAGTGACAAATTTAACCATTGCATTACTTTGTGCTTAGCATCATTTGTATGAAGTGTAAAATCATTTGTATAAATGTCACAGAAAACATAGGGAAGAGTGACAAAGTAATGAAAGAAGTCTAAACATGCCAGTTCTAATTTAATAGATCCAATGCTTTTAAAATTAGATTTTTATTCTATAAAATCACATATAAAGTATTATTATTATTATTATTATTATTATTATTATTATTTTGCTTCAACCATTTTTCTAGTAATGGACCCACCAGTTGTCCAAATTCTTGAATAGTTTGGGCTTTTCAACTTTTTCAATCCTATAGGACACTCACAGCTCTTTCTTTTCTCTTGTAATTCTTCCTGCTTTACAGAATAAAGCTTTGGCAATAGAAAACAATTATTTTGGTCACGGGTCCGTATGAGCTAATGAATTCCTATTAAATACCAAGTTTTTGCTGCTACACCTTCACAGGGAGACACTTATTTGCCTCATAATGAAAACAGATGGTATAGCCTTTACTTATAATTGTAATTATAAAACATAGCAAAAAGCTTAAAATTTTAACTTCAAAAACTAAATTGAAAATGTTTTTTATAAACTCATAAGAATATGAAATTAACTCTAATTTTATGCAGCATCTGAAACAAAACCAAACCACTTGGAATGATGAGTTTGCTAGATACCCTCTGTCTCCTGTCAATCTTTTCAATACCTGACATTAATTTGAATAACTGAATTCTTACCCCCACTATTTTCACATTTATATTGTTTTGATTAAATCCATCTGTTCCATTATTATTTGGAAAAAAAAATGCTCACCACTTACTATGTCTGACCTTGGCAAAGTCAATTTCCTCATCTGTGAAATGGATCCAAAGTATCTAGGTTTATTATGGGGGACTGATTTATGTGTACCAAGACTGATTTATGTGTACCAAGAGAGTATAAGACTTAAAAGACCTTGTTACCTCATCATTTTTATCAGAAACTATGCTTTATGTTATCAGAAAATAGCAGTGTAATTCAAATTGGTCTTACTGCCTCTACCATCATTATCAACATTTTCACCCATTGGGACTTAAAAAGGAAGACCTTCCCATACATGTCAACACATTCTCATGTGCCCATCCAAATTTTATAAGCATACATGGCTTAAAATCAGGTGTTCTGAGGTCTCTATGCTGTGTTATTTTAAAGAAAAAATGACCCATTTTAAAAACATGAAACTTATTTTTTATTGCAGGGTACTTGGGTGGCTCATTTGGGCATCAGACTCTTGGTTTCAGCTCAGGTCATGACCTCAGGGTCATGAAATCAAGACCTGTATGGGGCTCCACACTCAGCACAGAGTCTGCTTAGGATTCTCTCTCCCTCTCCCTGTGCCCCTCCCCTTGCTCATGTGCTAGCGCTCTCTCTCTCAAATACATCTTAAAAAGAAAAAAAAAAAAACCCCACCTTTTATTGATTTCCAGACAACCTGAATTTATATTTACTAGGTAAGACAGTGGGTACTATTAAAATGTAATCATAACTAAAGATTATTTTATTATTAAATTTAAAAAAATGTATCATGGAATTTTTTAATGAGTATGGATAGCATTGTCTTGCAGTTCACTTTGGTCATCACTTGTCTTCAATTTGATCATAATCTCTTCTGAATGATCAGCAAGTGATTACTTAATAGTAATTACAATACCTGTGTTTTCTTTATCCTTTTTCCTTATTAAAATATGTTAATACATAAAATTTTTAGAAATATTACTGTAAAAAGTCCTATATAATGAACAGAAATTTAAGATCACTTCAGTTACCTCATTATCGGTAGAGTAGCATGAGTAAGCTGTGGTTTGCGTGTAGTTCTTGGTGTAGGTATGATCCCTGTAATAGAAACCATTCTACTCAAGAAAGCAAATCAGAACATAACTTATGTAAACAAAATAATCTTTGTTTGAAATTTTGTTTACTGTTGGTCATAGTCTTTGTAAGGCATCTTATAACTGGCTGAGACTTATTGTCATCTTCCCATGAGTGACAGTTCCTCAGCCTCATTTTCTCCTTGCTGTAGGGGTTAGTATGTAAAAGTATTACTGTCAGCCTCTCACCTAGGAGTTCTATACATTTGTTGGATCCTCTTGCATACAGAGTATTGTTTAAACAACTTTATGGAGAAATTTCTATGCTTTTGCATCCAAGGGTTCCTCCACCTTGAGTGCCCTCCTACTCCTCTCTCCATATTCACCTTTCAAGCTATTGAGAATTAACCCTCTTCTTCTATATTCATGAAAGTATAGAATCTCAGAGACAGGAGACACCTACCTCTGGTTCAATTATTCAACTACTAGTTAAATACTTATGATATCTCTAGCTTCTTCTCTAAACCCACCCATGACAGAAACTTCTGAATCTAGATATATCACACTTTTGAACTTCCTCTTTTAAAAAAATCAAATAAAATTTTCTTGAGTTGCTACCTAGTTTCTAGTGATAGTCCCAGATTCCACAAAATAAGTTAAAATAAGGTTCCATATGAATATTCTTATTTTAAAACAATGTCATAAACTCACTAGCTAACATGTCTAGATATAGTAGCAAAGTCAAAGAGAGACCTTGAGGTATTTAAAAACCCACTCCATATTTCCATCAGGTCCATTCTCCCCAAATCCCCAAAATCAACATTTAATTTAATAAAAACAGGGTCTTTGTTCTGAAATATAATTTAAGACAAAGTCAGCAGACCCCTTTCCCCTAATACATGGTCATATCTATATCTCTCATTTTTAGAAATTTTGCTGTGTCTCTAAGCTTTGAATGAGTCCGGAGGTCATTTATTCTGCTGTTTCAAAAAATTGTAATTCATGATGAAACTGAAGGGTAGAGATTGAGACATTTGCCTGAAGCAAATGGAAAGCAAAGCCAGTATAGAATCCCTGTGCTAATTTGTGTACCATTGCAGAAATTCTTTGTCCATCATATTTTTGTCCTCTGTTGTATAATTTTTCTTGGTTTATTTACATATTAATTTTTCTTCCTTTCAGTCACCTCTGCTAGTAGCCATTGTTGAAGTTAGGACCATGCCATATATATCTTTCTATTCAACCACTGACCCCAAAAAGCAGAACTGTCATAGACATTAACATAACTGAACATTCTTAAATAGCATGGGTGTAGTTTCAGTGGAGAAGCTATCAAAACTGTAAATACAAACTCTTCACTTTAAAATTCACCCTAATGGGGCCCCTGGGTGGCTAAGTAGGATAAGCCTCTGCCTTTGGCTCAGGTCATGATCTCAGGGTCATGGGATTGAGCCCTGCATCAGGCTCTCTGCTTGGCGGGGAGCCTGCTCCCCAACCCCCAACCTGCTGCTCTGCCTACTTGTGATCTCTCTCTCTCTGTCAAATAAAAAAAAAAATCACCCTAATCCTCATTATTTCTTGGATGATTTAAGTCACATGTTTTGAAATTATAAAAGGACAATTTACTTGGATAGCTCTGCTACCATTATGCAAAGCCAAATAGTGAGTGAAATGACCTTCTAACTTCTAGATACATATTAACATAATACATTTACAAATGTGTTGAATACTCCATTCATTTAGCAAAGAGACAGTCCATACTGTGGACATAGAATAGGATGATTTACTCTAATCCAGGTGCTCTAAACATAAACATTCAAGTCTAGAATGTCCTTCGGTGTATCTTCTGGCAGTTGGTTAGCAATCATATTGAACTAGTCAATGCTGGCTGACAGAATGTACCTGAAAGATGTCTCCCTCCCTCTCACTCTCTCCCCTCTCTCTCTCTCTCTCCCTCCTCACTCTTCCTCTCTCTCTCCTCACTCTTCCTCTTTTCTCACTCTCTCTCTGTCTCTCTCTCCACCCTCTCCCCCTCTCTCTCCCTTCCTCTCCTCACTCTCCCTCTCTTCTCATTCTCCCTCTCTCTCTCTCTCCTCACTTTCCCTTTCTCTTCCTCACCCTCCCTTCTTTTCTTCTTTCTTTCCTTCCCTCAGGGTTTTCTTCCTTCCAACAGATTGCACACTTTACACATTCACAATTTCTTTCATCTTTTGTTGTATTTCATATATGCACACACAGATATAATTCTAAATCTTGTATTTCTTTCCTTTTTCTTGTTCTTTTTTTATTCCGATCCACAACCGCTCTATCAGAATGTTGTTGTGTGTATGAATTCATCAAAACCTTTAAAACAGCCAGCATAGTGTCTGGAAAATAGAAAATATTCCCTTTCATTTGCTTCACAGTATATATGCCTCTTATTTTACATTGTTTTGAAAGCTAGTCATTATATTAAAAAGAAATGTAATTCCCATGTCAAAGAAAAAAATAGCAAATTTTAAAATGATAATCACTCATTCTAAACCAGTGACGTGCATTCCCTAAGTTTTTGAAAGTACCCACATGTTTTGTGATTGCGTAAGTGGTTCCTGCCTGCCTACTCACATTTCTGTAACAACTTACTTTTCTTAAATATGAACATTTGTGATAAATATCTTTCCCAATTTTGTGCTTTGCTTTTGTTCCACATTTTAAGATGGTATTGCTTCTGAAGCAGCTGTACTTTCAGTCAACCACATCTTTCTTTAAATTCATAATTATCAGTGGGCATAAAAAGCTGAGTGTTATTAGAACTCTTTGGCAATGAACCCTAAGTAAATAAATTCTTGTTTCAAATTATGAACATGAGGTACTTCTTGGGAAACACAACAGGTTTGTGAGATTAGACAGTCTTCCCTCTGGACTCTGGTCTTAGATGCAGTAGAAGAGTTCAGTGTGATTAACCTGACGATAAGCTATAAACCACATAGATTACATTTCATTTAAAGAAAAATTTCATATTCTTCTTTTATAAGTAACCCTGATAATAATGATGGTGCTGATCATGGACTTACATAAATTCAGAACTCAGAACGATGAAAGTCTTTGTCTGGAAGCTTCAAAAGGGTCTTCGTGGGACATTTGGGTTTCTTGTGTTTTCTTTTTGATTTTGTTTTTTCCATTAAAGAGGTGTATTCTTCTTGAAAAGAAACCTACAGAGCCTACGCAGGCAATCTTTTCTTCATAATCTCCAGCAGGATATACCATGCTGTTGTATTTCTAGCATGAACAAAAGAGGTTGCTTGGCAGCTTTGTTTAATATTGCTTTAGAAATTGACATACTGCTGGCCTTGCAAGTGTTAGAGAAAAGAGGGACTCTCCTGAAACTGTTATTGAACATTTCAGGGGCAGACTGTCAGCCTACCTTCAATAGAGACACCCATTAAATGCACGTTTCCGTAGAATTGGGATCACATTCTCACTTTCCAGCAGCCAACTGTTTTCATCATCCAAGCCCCAGAATAATGAGTCTATGTGTGCTTTGTTTTTCAGTGAGCCCAACCAATCTGTCTCAATTTAACCTTCCTGGGCCCAGCATGATGCGTTCAAATAGCATCCCAGCCCAAGACTCTTCCTTCGATCTCTACGATGACTCCCAGCTTTGTGGGAGTGCCACGTCTCTGGAAGAAAGGCCACGTGCCATCAGTCATTCAGGCTCATTCCGAGACAGCATGGAAGAAGGTAGGCATAGGGGGAAATAAAGATCGAGTTCCTTTATTTAACTCAGAGATGAAAACTGTCACATCAGTCGCCATCACAAGGATCCTGAAGAGTAAATAAATGAGTTAAGTGTAACTCTCATTTAGGGAGCCCTGAAGCTTGAAGAGGTTTTAGTCTGCATTACCTTCTGTTTCTTTATGCATTTGGAAATATGCCAGAAATTGTGTAGATTAATACTTGGTTATAGAACAGTTCAGAACAAATCCGGTATTCTCATACAGAAATCCTCATTATTTTAGAGACTGTTTGCTCTTGTGTGTCCAATATCAGAGCCAGTTTTGTTTGACATCTTGGTTAAAGAATCATAAAGATACATGAACCAAAAAAATTACTTTACGAAACTACCACACATTGCCAGCTTGTATCCTCAGAAACTCCCTCTGGTGTTGGTTCTTGTTATCATATCATAATAGAATTCATATCATGTCTACTTTTTGTCTTCTAAGTTTCATTTTCTTATCCAATGTAATAAGGTTGTGTGTGAATACTTTATAGTAGTTCTATTCAAAAAACTCAGGAGACTTAATGGACGTTCAAATGTATGTTATTTTTTTAAACTATATAACTGCAGGTGTGAAATTTGATAATTAATATTTGAGAGATTTTCCTTTTCGATTTAATGAATGATTTTTAAAAGTATCCACAAAGAAAAATTGTGGCACACATACTATAAAGCATATCAGCTGAGAATAAAATAAAGGTAAACATAAAAGTTTAAATTGATCAGAATAAAATCAGACATTTTTATCTTTGGGGTAAATACCTAGGAGTGCAATTGCTTGCCATCTGCAAGGATGTCGATGAAACTAGAGGGTATTAAGCTAAGCAAAATAAGCCAATCAAAGGAAGATAATTATCATATGATCTCACTCATATGTGGAATTTTAGAAACAAACCAGAGGAGCATAGGAGAAGGGCGGGAAAAATAAAACAAGACATAATCAGAGAAGGAGAAAAACCATAAGAGACTTTTAACCGTAGGAAACAAACAGAGCTGCTGAAGGGAATGGGGTAACTGGGTGAGGGGCATTAAGGAGGGCACGTCATGTAATGAGCACTGAGTGTTATATACAACTGAAGAATCACTGACCTCTACCTCTGAAACTAATAATCCATTATATATTAATTGAATATAAATAAAATTAAATTAAATTTTAAAAAAGAACAAAATCAAATATGAAATCAGCTAACTATCCTAGTCTTTAATGATTATATATAAAAGAAAGAACTCCAGATCCTGAAATATATCCAGTTTTAAGCCTCTGGTCATCCATTTATTTGTGGTCTGAACTTCAGCCAATTTCTTAACTTCATCAATCAGTAGTGCTAATTCCTGCATCTGTAATCTCACAGATTTGTCATGAAAATGAAATGAGGGAGTAGTTCTGTTCCTTTCTCTTTCTCTTTCCTACTTTCTTAAAGGCTCTTCTGATTCAAAGTTTAGATAGCTATGAGCATTGGTTTCATGTTTTCAGGCCACTACTGTCCATTTAATCTGCTGACACTAAATCGGTTGACCATCATTGCCACTACCTTTTGGGATATTAACTGAACAACTGAGTTCATGGTGACAGTAGATTACACCCTGAGAGTCTACTGATTGTGGCAGACTAGATGGACAAAATTGGACTAATTGGAAATGTAAAGTCATTGCTTTTTTGAGATGGTTCTATCACTGTCTTCACAGACTGGCATCTTATAATACCATAAAAATAATTTGCTATGCATACTGATGGCTCTTCTAGAGTGCCTCATTTACAGATGGAATGCTCTTCATATGCTTGGGAAAGTCTTGCCTTCTGTGTACGAGGTTTAAATAATCTCAGTTACTGAACACCAGCCTGAGTGGGCAAGATGGCTTTCTGATGCCCATACGCTGAACACTGAACTATTTTAATTCTTACATTGTGGTCTACAATCAAGGGATTATTGAACTAGTGAGGTGGAAAGGGCTTTACTGATGCCCTCTCTGCTCAATGATCACCGTGAAGATAAACAGCCACACACTAGGAGGTTATAGACCCATAAATAGCAAGTAGCAGCAACAGACCAGAAATGGGATCGCCCGATTCATTGTCCACCTGCCTTCTGCACACCGTGCCAAAAATCTTAGTGCATTCTGGTGCATACTTAGTGCATACTGTTATTGGAGGTTGAAAGAATGTGGAATTGTATTTGTATTGTGTTCTTTAGATGACTAACATTTTGCCCACCTCACAGAGTGGTGATAGTTGCTTGAGCAAGATATCTGGGAGTTGTCCTTCATTGCTCTTTTGACCATATGTTTATATGAAGTCAGTTTTAAAGAGGTTCTTCCTGGTGTCCCTCAAATTCATCCCTATCTTTTGAGACACACTGCCACAATTCTACACAGTTTTCCCAATTGCCTCCAGACCAGCTTGCAAGCATCTCCCACATACCCTTGTAGTACTAGAGAGTATTTTTTACTCTATTGTAATTATCTTCTTAGTTGTATACCTTTCTGCTTTTTTTTTTTTTTTAAGCTCCTAGGATTATGTCATCATTTTTATAGTCCCAGAAACTAGGAAGGGCCTGTCACATTGGGTGGGCCCAACTAATGTTTGTTGAATGGATGAATATTCAGAAATAAATTTACCCCACAGTGAAAAGAAGAAGGACTTTTCTACAAATATAATTAAGCACACTTTTACCACCCTTTGGGCTTAACACATCGGATATGCAGAAATATAAAACAGTCTATCAATTGTTTAAAATGGTATTTTGGTATACCTCAGTAAAAGTATGCAATTTCCATTCTTAATTTCAGTGAGACACCACCTTGAAACAAGCATTTTTTCTATGATTAGAAGTACAAAAGAAACAATAATTTTTCATTTAAAAGAGCGTAATCAACTCATCACAGATAATGTTGAAATAGCAAGTTCAATAAAATGCTTCTTCCCCTGAAAGCATACAATGAAAACAGTGAAAATGGATCTCTGTTGTATAAAAATGAAATAAATAAATAAAACACATAAAGCTTTTTTTTTTTTTAAGTTTAAAAGTTTTTGGCAACTTTATTTTAGATTTCCACTATTTTCTGGTTATTTATTCTGTGAAAGTTTACTATAACTTTAAATAAACCCACAGTCTTCTCAAAGGGCTTGTGTTTGTCCAATCCTCTCTAACGTGATGAAGGAGGTATTTTAGGGGGACAGGTGTGGGACCTTCCCATGTCTCAACAATTTGACCTCAAAAAAATGACAGCAGAATTGCCCTCCGATTCTTAGATCTAGCTGTTATTATTTTACTTCCCCGCCTCCCTATTCTCCACTCTCCAGCAAAGACCTGCTGCTTCTGAGCTGACTTCATTATATCACCTCTTGTTCTTTTTTGCTTTTTCCAGTTCACGGTTCTTCATTATCACTGGTCTCCAGCACTTCTTCTCTTTACTCAACAGTAAGTATCCGCTGTGAAAAGAAAGCTTCTACTGTTTCCAAGCACACAGATGATTCAGTAGATTGATATTGACACAGAAGTTACACGGTGAGATAAGAGTCTGTGCTGAACGACCTCATACCCCATCCACTGACAGGTGCCGCTGGGCCAGCCCCTCTTTGGCCCACTTAGATATGCCTTCACTTGACTTTTGTGTACTTAGGAAAATCAGTGAGTGCATGAAAAACTGAATCTCGTAAAACCTGTTGGGGTATGACTGGGAATCCCTGAACCCATGTACTGGGCTGTACCATAAATTTATGATATTGACTAGTTTTCCTTGTTCAGATCTCTGAGCCATGACTGGTGATGGTCCTATGGTATTTTCTCTATAAGAGTGATGTCTACTTATTTATTTTGAAGATTTTATTTATTTGTCAGAGAGAGAGCACAAGCAGGGGGAGCAGCGGGCAGAGGGAGAGGCAGGTTCCACACTGAGCAAGGAGCCTGAAGCAGGACTCGATCCCAGGACCCTGGGATCATGGTCTAAGCTGAAGGCAGATGCTTAACTGACTAAGCCACCCAAGGCATCCCAAGAGTGAGATCTATTTAGTTTACTGAATTTCACTGGGACTTGAGCACAGTGAATAATCCTTAGTCCAGTACTGAAAGGTTCATAAAAAGTTCAGTCTTTGCTGTCACTGACCAGTTAAGTGTGATGGGCAATACTAATTGTTTTACTCATTTCATTAGATTTCAATATTAGGGCCCTCCTTTTAGAAGCTCATTTTGCATAGTTACTGCTTTGGATAGTTACTCAAGATCAGACTACTGTTGGGAAAGACAATATTTTTCTCATCATTTCTCCTTTTAATTTGCCAATTACACTCTATAAATGGAAAAATCACTATTGTTATTTAAATTTACTGCTTTGGCAAATGGATAAGAAGTGAGAAAGGTGAAATGTTTTGGAAAAAAACAGATAAAAGAAATGTGTTAACACTGAGTGTCCCTCCTAATTGGCCCAGTGCCACTGCTTGTTGGGAGATGTGCTCTGACTTAAACCATTGTGGTTGAAGTCTCTGCTTAACATCAAAAGATGCGGCATGAGGGGCGCCTGGGTGGCTCAGAGGGTGAAGCTTCAGCCTTCGGCTCAGGTCATGATCTCAGGGTCCTGGGATCAAGCTCCATGTCAGGGTCCCCGCGCAGTGAGGAGCCTGCTTTCCCCTCTGCCTCTCCCCTCCACTCGTGCTCTTTCTCCCTCTCAAATGAGTAAATAATTTTATTTTAAAAAGATGCAGATTGATTAAATATTTTAAATACGTGTAAAAATAGTATTTGGATAAAATTACCTTCATTCAGCCTGAGAAACACTCAAGAAGAAAAGGAGCATGGTTTAAGGGAAGACAAATGGCCAATTAGTATGTAACCAGAGTCCACTAGAAAATTTTGTGATAATAAAAATGCTCTGTCATTGCACTAATACAGTAACCTCTGGCCACATGTGGCTGTTGAGTATTTGCAGTGAGTGTCTCTGGTGTGATGGAGGAACTGAATTTTTAAGTTTCATTAATTTAACTTTCAATAGGCACATGTACCTAGTAGCTACTATATTGGATATTGCAGGTTTATAGGGAACAGAGGAGGGACATTTAAAAAACTGTAGAAACAGTAAAAACTGTCTGACTCTTGGTTTTGGCTCCGGTCATGATCTCAGGATTGTGAGATCGAGCCCCACATTGGGTTCCATGCTGGGAATGGAGCCTTCTTGAGATTGTCTCTCTCCCTTGGGGCACCTGGGTGGCTCAGTTATTAAGCATCTGCCTTCTTCACAACCCCAGCGTCCTGGGATGGAGCCCAAATCGGGCTCTCTGCTCACTGGGAAGCCTGCTCCTCCCTTTCCCACTCTGTTTGTGTTCCCTCTCTCGCTGTGTCTCTCTCTGGCAAATAAATAAAAGTCTTAAGGGGCGCCTGGGTGTCTCAGTGTGTTAAGGCCTCTGCCTTTGGCTCAGGTCATGATCCCAGGACCTGGGATCGAGTCCCGCATCAGGCTCTCTGCTCAGCAGGGAGCCTGCTTCCTCCTCTCTCTCTGCCTTCCTCTCTGACTACTTGTGATCTCTATCAAATAAATAAATAAATAAATAAATCTTTAAAAAAAAAAATCTAAAAAAAAAAAAAGATTTTCTCCCCCACCTAAATAAATAAATAAATAAGAGCAGATGTCAATCAGAAAGCATAAATGAGAAATATTGCAGTATCAGTAGGATACAAAATGGGAACAGAGATTAAAATAAAGTGACTATATATGTATATGTTTATGCCAAAATTTAGAAATGAAAATACCCTTGTGTTATGTGTGAAAAGAATGGATTAGGTGATCAAGCCACGTGAGAAGGTGATTTTTAGGATATTAGGGAATTCAAATAGCTGTACAGAAAATGATAGAAATTATATTCTTGAATTCATAATCTAGAGTTGAACAGTTCAAATAAATGCGTATTTGGAGGACTGATAAAGAGAAAAATCAGAGATAATGAGGAGTCATTTTGACTTCCGTCCCCCATTATCATGCACTGAGATTCCACTGTCAATGACAAAATATCTGTGAGAGTGCTTTTTAAACCATGAAGGCAAAAGGCAATTTTATCACTATTTTTCACTCCTTTAAGGACTGTGGATCAAGATTCATTTGATTTTCATTCTTGCCTAACTCTATCAGCGGCTGTTGTGTGACATCAGGCAGACTGCTAAGTTTCTCTGGACTATACCTGTAAAATAAAATTGGAAAACAACCTCCAGGCCTATCCCATCTATCCCGTGGGTCTCACATAATTATTAGAGAAGACCAGGAATATTGTATACCATAATTATAAAAATTAATATTATAAATTAAAATTAATTATAAAAATGATAAGAAATAAATATTGTTTACCATAAATTATAAAAATTATGGTGTCCTACATGGTTCTAAGAGCACTGTTTATATCATAGTCTATGTGAATTGCATCTTTTGAAGTTCTGCAGTATATAGCTAAGACAACTTGATGGCGTTCCTTCATAAAATAATTTAAGTGTCTATGGGGAGAAAAAGTCCTTCTTTTTTTTTTTTTTTGTTAAAAGAAGAATATTAGGCTCAGGATGCCTGGCTGGCTCAGTCGGCTAGCGTCTACCTTTGATTTAGGTCATGATCCCAGAGTCTTAGAATTAAGCCCACCAGGCTCCTTGCTCAGTGGGAAACCTGCTTCTCCCTCTGCCTGCCCCTCCCACTGCTTGTGCGCCCTCTCTCTCATACTGACAAATAAATAAATAAAATCTTTAAAAAAAAATTCTGAACTTAACAACATTCTAAATTAAAAAAAAAAAAGAATATTAAGCTCTATCTGCTCTTATTAGGCAAAATACTGTTTTTATGAACCATGAGTATGAACCTTGTTTACTCTAACATCATGTATATAGCTTATAGAATTATATATTTGCTGTATGTATTTCACTTAGAGATAATAAATCTAATAACGATGGCTTGTTGCAAAGAACATTTACCTATAAAGTCATCAATCTAACAAATCTCATTGGAAGGACTCTCCCCCTGTAGATCTTTTAAAGCTTCTGTCATTAACGGTTCGGTAAATTTTCCAGAGTATCTTGTTATAAAGTTGAGTATATCACCTTACAGAATTCTGAGCAGAAAGATTGCAGGAATTTGCATATTGGTTGGAAATCACAGGCCTAATTTCATCTGCCAAGTTGTTACCTTTGGCAAACTTAAGAGTTTGTGTGCTTGTGTTATATCCAAGCCAACACTGTGAAATCTGGAGCTTTTATCTAAAAATGCAAATTACTAGATTCTTTTAATGTAATCAGAATATGGAGCAACACTGAGGTTAAATTCCTTCAGGTTTACCGTCACTTGGCATCTCCCCCTTTAGATGTTGGCCTGTCTTCTCAGGCTTGTTCCTGCCTCTGCCGCCTCTTCTTTTCTTACTCAGTTTGGGTTCTTAGTTATGACTGTGCTGTTGCTTTTCTCATAGGAAAGACCTACTCCTTATTATCCATATCTCTATGGAAAGTGGGGAAAATAGGCTGAGGAAGGCTGTGTGATTTTTCTTTTTAATTCTAGAGCTCTTTTTTTTATTCTTTATATTCCTGACCCTTTGATCCTTGCAGTAAATAGGTTCTTTCTGACTGATTATATACTAAAAACTTTATTGAATCTGTTTTGTACTTGGAATCTAATTTATAGTAATAAGAGCAGGGGCTATATTTGGTTCATTAACATATTTCTTAATACACAGCTAATGCTGAAGAAAATTTTTTTTTTTTAGTAACTTTGAATGGGTTAATGAATGGCCAATTAATGGTTTATGGAATAAAGAATCATCTGATGTATTTTTATTTAGGCAAAATGTTTTATACTGTCTACCATCCTTCAGGACATTGGGCTTGGTTCAAAACCATCATTTAAAAATGGCAAGTAATCACATTCCATCATCATTAATCCCAAGCCTATATCGCTGAAAGAAACATAATGTTAATATCTCACCACACTGCTTCAGCTTGATGATAACACCTTACCTAGTATTAATAGCCACAGGGTATGAACAGAGGCAAAGATTAAGGAAAAAGATAGTTCTGAAAACACAGGGACAAGAAAAGTCATTATTATATATAATACCTATAGAATTAATATATAATGGTTATGCTTATGGGTAGTATATATAACTTACTTGAGGTTATTTTAATGAGAAAATATGATATCTTCTTAAATTTTTTGTTAAGTAGAATACATTGCTTTTTTTTAAACATACAAATTATTTATTATCAGTTTTATATAATCCTGGTGGGACTTGGAGCAGGATTTGGGCAGAAGATAGTGGCAATAAACATGTGAAGTTCTAGGGAAAACAAATAGTCAGTTAATTGTACCATATGTCTTAAGGCAAACAACTTCCAGCTTTCTTTGGCTTTAAGATGAAATTTCTATCTTAAAATGAATTCTCTACTTCTGTTTAGAAACAAACTGTATCTAAAACCTTAAAATTATTAGAATTAAAAAAATAAAATCTTCCCTTAAAAATTAAAGTTGGGATGTAAAATATTCAAGTCTTACGTTAGCATTGATTTTTCTTGATTTTTATTTTTTATTTTATTTTATTTTATCTTATTTTAAAGATTGTATTTATTTACTTGACAAAGAGAGATCACAAGTAGGCAGAGAGGCAGGCAGAGAGAGAGAGGAGGAAGCAGGCTCCCTGCTGAGCAGAAAGCCCCGATGTAGGGGCTCGATCCCAGGACCCTGAGATCATGACCTTAGCCGAAGGCAGCGGCTTAACCCACTGAGTCACCCTGGTGCCCCTTGCATTGATTTTTAAAACAGTTTCCTTATAAAGACTATTAGGATTCTACTGTTTAACTACTCTATTATTTAAATACTGTATTATTAACTATACATTATTTTTAAGAGTAGAGAAAATATAGGAAAGAGAACACTCAAGAAATACTTATGCATAAAAATATCTTTTTATTTATTTTCCTTTGTTTTATTTTATGTTTTCTGTAGAAAAAAAGGGGGGGGGATAAAAAGTAGTTCAGGTACTTCTGCATCAGTTAACCAAGAAATATCCCCAAAGGAGAGATAGGAGATAAGAGGGGTTTTTTTTTGTTTTTGTTTTTGTTTTTGCTTTGAAATGGCTCAAGGGAGCAGGCAGATTTGTAGTGTTCAGCGATATTTTCATTCTCCAGCTTTTTCCAGAGTAAGGGAGCTTTCCAAATGTAATGGTGCACGTAACTCATTTTCTGGCATTTTGCAGCCCAGCACAAAGAAGAAAAACAGAGCTAGGAATTTTCTGCAACTGAGTCCAAAACAGCCTGCGAGTTCCTCCAGCAGTCCTCATTGCCATAATGTGTATGACCCAAGATGTTTGCCAGCCACTTTTATCACCATCTTGACACTGGGCATTTTACTGTTTTGCTGACTTGCAGCTCAGTAAACTTAATGAATCATCATTAGGGACAGTGAAAGAAGATAGAAACTAATGAACTGATTTTCTGTG